CGATTGCTTTTGTTGCATGCATAGGCTGCTTGATGGGTATTGTTTTGTTTAGGAGGAGAGAAGAAACCTGTGTTATATATCTATCTCTTTTTCTTTTTACTTTTGCTGCTGCTGCTGTCAGACCAGGCAGCAGCATACATTTCAGGTGTATAGACACCTCAGCAGCAGCAAAACCCTCAATTAAACACATATACACCTCACGCCCGCTCCCTATACACCCCAACCTGCCTATACACTCCAGCAACGGGAACCGCAGCCCCGGGCCCACCAGCAGCACCTCTCCTTCTCTCACCTCTCCGTATGCAATAGAAGCAGTACTATCACCAGCAGCAGCAGCAGCAGCAGCAGCTGCTGCTGCTGCTGCTGCTGCTGCAGCTGGTGGTGGTGTTGCTGCTGCTGCTGCTGACCTAGGAAACGCCAGCAGCGGGAACGTAATCCCCACCACTGCAGGCAGAGGAAGAGGCGCCTCAACAGCAGCAGCAGCAGCAGCAGCAGCAGGAGCAGCAGCAGCAGCAGCAGCAGCAGCAGAAGAAGAAGAAGAAGAAGGAGGTGCATATACACCTGACAAGCAGCGGGAGAACTCTCTATCGAAGTCAAATGCATACTGATCATACACCACGTGGCTGGGGCGAGTTGCTGCTGCTGCTGCTGTTGCTGCTGCTGTTGCTGCTGCTGTTGCTGCTGTTGCTGCTGCTGTTGTTGTTGTCGTTGGTGTTGCTGCTGCTGCTGCTGCTGTTGACTGCGGTGTAGAGGGGTTTGCTGCTGTATTTGCTGCAGCAGCAACTGAGAGTTTAATGCGTTTATTATTATTAGGTGATTTAGATAGAGAAGAAAGAAAAAAAGAAAGAGAACGAAGAAGAGAAGGAAAGCAAAGACAGAGTGTATGTACACCCCGCTTGTCTTTTGTTTTTTTTATAAAGTAATATAATAACGCAGACAAACGGAGGCCTAGCTGGAGTACTGAGACACACACAAATATAAATAAAAAAAAAAAATAAATAAATATATAAATAAATAAATATAAATATAAATATAAATAAATAAATAAATATATAAATATAAATAAATAGATAAGTATGAGAATATAAATAAATAAATAAATATAAATAAATATATAAATAAATGAATATATAAATAAGTAAACCCAAAAAAACAAACAAATAAATGAATAAATAAATAAGTAAATAAATAAATAAAGACAAAGAAATAAAAACACACACATGTTTAGGGTTTAGGGTTTAGGGTTTAGGGTTTAGAGACAAAGATGAGACATCTGCATTGGCTTGACGACAACTAGGTAGAGAAAAATAAACAAAAAAAAACAAAAAAAAACAAAAAAAAACGAAGATATAGATGTATAGATGTATGCATGCATGCTGCTGCTGCTGCTGTTGTTGCTGCTGCTGTTGCTGCTGCTGCTGCTGTTGCTGCTGCTGCTGTTGCTGCTGCTGATACAGCTAGTCTTTCTGCTCTCTTTGGTGCTGCTTCTGTCGGTGCTGGCGTTATGCTATGATTGGTGTTGCTGCTGTTGTTGCTGCTGCTGCTGCTGCTGCTGCTGCTGCTGCTGCTGTTGCTGCTGCTGTATTTCTGTATCTGCAGTGTATGTACATGTGTGTATTTAATATTTATACACTCAACAAATAAAAAAATATAAATAAATAAAAAATAAAAAAATATAAATAAATAAATATTTATCCTCTCAACAAATAAACAATCTTACTCCTGTCTTCTTCTGTCTCCTCTTGTTTGTCTTTAATCTCCCCCCCCTCACCAGCAGCAGCAGCAGCAGCAGCAGCAGGGGGGGGCCCCCCATGTTGTTGCTGCTCTGTCATTTGGCTGCAGCAGCAAGCGCCTCACTGCATTGAAGAAATAAACAAAATAAATAAAATAAATAAAATAAATAAATAAAATACATAAATTCAGGTGTATGTACAGCTGGTTGATACTAATGAGGTGCATAGACACCACAAACCGGCAGCAGCAGCAGCACATGCAATACAGACCCAGCAGCAGCAGCAGCAGCAGCAGCAGCAGCAGCAACAGCAGCAGCAGCAGCAACAGCAGCAGCTGAGCCCACTGCAGCACAAATCAATGAACTTCTACTCAAAAATGCTTTTCTTTTCCCCTTCTATCTCTCCTCATATCCTTACTAAACCCTAAACCCTAAACCCTAAACCCTAAACCCTAAACCCTAAACCCTCGAGCCAGCGAGGCCCCCATACAATCGAAGGCCCCCTTCTTCTCTTCTATAAACCCCCCACCCGTTGTGATGTATTTATAAAAATACATTAAACCCTAAACCCTAAACCCTAAACCCTAAACCCTAAACCCTAAACCCTGGTGATGACAGTCCGTGTGCCTGGGGGCCCCTCAAGGGCCCCCAAGGGGGCCCCCCATTTCGATAGAGATAAAAACAGAGACAGCAGCGATGAAGAGATAAGCTCAGGCAGCAGCAGCGGGGGAGAGAGAGAAACAGAAAAAAAAAGAAAAAACAAAAGGCTGCAGCTGGACGAGGATTTGCTGCAGCGTGTACGCAGTGTACACACACAGCAGCAGCAGCAGCAGCAGCAGCAGCAGCAGCAGCAGCAGAGGAAGAAGCAGAAGAAAAAGGGGCAGGGACTGATGCTACTAGATACAGGGGAGGGAGAAGAGCAGCAGCAGCAGCAGCAGCAGCAGCAGCAGAAAGCGCAGCAGCTGAAGCTGCAGCAGCAGCTGCATGCAAAACTCATCGGGTTGCGGGTTACAGCCAACACAGCCCTTCGTCTTGT